GAAGAGGAGGAGGAGGAGCAGAGTGCAGAGAACAGAGAAGTGGCAGAGGGAAAGAGGAGCGAGAACAGGGGAAGGAGGAGGAGGAGAGGAACTGAGGAAGGTGGGGAGGAGGAGAGGAGAGGGACGGGAGCCTGCTTCTGGCCATTAAAGTTGGGCGTTTTGCAGCCTCAGTGAGGAATAAGGGAGCCAGTACTGACCGACTCCCCTCTCTCTCTCTGCTCAGATATGGTCCGGAAGGCCTTCACGGGTGTTTCTGAAAACAACTTTACTGAGTTTTTTAACCTCCACAGAACCACCAAGGTAAAGCCAACAACACGTTCTTAAAGAAGAATCAGTAACCCTGACAGAAGGACACACACTTCTTGCGTACATTTGGATCCGTTTGCTTAGAGTCCTCAGACTCCTCTGGCTCCCTGGACTCTTCCTGCCGGTGCCCCCAGCAATGTGTGGATAAAGCAGTGGGGTGGGGATTCAGAAATGAAACGCTGACAGTCAGGAAGTGGAACCCATCCCTGTAGCCATGGGATAGCAGATAGGAGAGCTAGGACCGCCTGGAGGTGAACGCTGCACCGGGACACTCAGTGAGGAGGCTCAGTACAGAGTGGGGATCCGTGGGGAAGGGGAGGATGGGACAGGTGTGGCCCAGAGTCCGGCCTCAAGGGCTCCCAGCAGGACAGGACTCCTGGCACAGAGGGGCCCGGGCTCTGACGTCCCCCAGCCCAAGGCAGAGGGCGGCTGCGTGAGTGGCCCATGGTCCTGAATGCACAAGTGCCGCTTCTCTGCAGTGGTGGGGACGGGCCCAGCCCGGTGGAGGGTGTGGAGTTTTCTGGGAAAAGTCTTCTCCTCAGTAGCCTTGAAAGGCAGGGACAGGACCCGTGTTGGATGGTTTTGAGCCCAGCTGTGCCCCTCCTGGCCGCACATACACCGGGGAGATGCCATGGCCTCCCCTCAGACTGCAAAGCCACAGAGAAGCAAAGAGAGAAACTGAGCCCCGGCTGAGGACAGGGCAGGCAGGGCCCAACCCCGGGTGGGATCGGGCCGCAGCTCTGTCAGTGGGGGTGGGGGCAGGCAGCCAGGCGGCCGCTGCTCCAGGCCTCTGGGGCTACCTGATTCCCACAGCTGTGGACTGGCCTCCTGAGGATCCTCAGTCAACTTTCTCTTCCTGTAGAACAAAATTGAAGAAATTCAATTGAGTCAAGAAGCAGCGGCGGAGAAGGCGATCCGAGTTCACTTCCAGATGGAGCAGATCGTGTACTGCCAGGACCAGGCCTACCGGGGAGCCCTGCAGAAGGCCAGGGAGGAGGAAGCTGAGGAGGAGGAGGAGCGGAGGAGCAAGGTCTCTCTGTATGCAAAGAACACTGCTATGGCCGAAATCCTGCAGCACCTGAACGCCTACTGCCAGGTGTGTGTGCTGTGTTGCAGGCCCGGGGCCGAGGTCTTCCGCTTCTCCTGAGAGGCCCAGTGCCTGGGCTGTGGGTGCAGGTGGCCATCAGCCAGCTTGCGTGTGGTGCCCTGGAGCAGCTCCACCTCAGCTGACAGAGGCTCTGGGGGCTTAGAGCCCCGCACACTGGCTTCGACTGCTGCCTGGTCCAGGCCTCTCTGCCCCTGGGCTTTCTCTGTGTCCAGTGGGTTTTTTGTGCGCTGCCGGCTGCAGGCCCAGCACCCAGCATCCTCCTTTCTGTGTCTCTAGGATCTGACCCTCACCGGTCTCTCAGTACAGGGCTGGGTGACGTCTCTGGCTCAGTCTCCTCCAGTCCGTCCCTGTGGCCACAAGGCTCTCAATTGCATAGAGTGGCTCCGAGTTTTTCCTGACAGTGGTGTGTCATGTCCTCCCGGGCCTCTGTGTCTCCTGCTCCCAGGAGCCGCCCTTTGCCTGTGCCCTGTCTCCTCTCCTCCCTCCCTTGGGGACAGGTCCTGCCCAGGTCACCCTGGTTCCGGAACCCACGTCCTATGTTAGACCCACACTCGCCGACCCTACAAGGACATACTTGGGTGCTGGTCACTTGCCTGGCCTCCTCACAAGTGGGTTCACTGTGGTTCACCCTCCGGGGACGTCTGTGGCCATGTTGTCCTTGCCTCCCAGAAAAGGAAACTGAGTCCCACAGGGATAGCAGGACTTGCTGGGCCACCAGCACGTGTCACAATCCTGAGGTCAGCGTGTGTCAGAGAGAGAGAGAGATCAGGGAGGACATGGGGTAGGACAAAGAGGCCGTGGGGACTCTGGCCACGCGTGAACCCAGTTTCCTGCCCGAGGCTGTCATGACCCAGACCATGCTGCCAAACAGCCCGAGGCTTGGCCCACAGAAGGCATGGGGTGCTCTCCCATAATGCAGGCGAGTGTGAAAGTTCCTGAGTGGGCCTGAGTGTTGGCGAGCATATTTCACCCGCTTCGTTCTAGGATCAGGGTGATGATCAGGGAAGCCAGGTTCAGTGGCCATTGACACCCTGTTTCCTGTGGGTCCTTGTGCGCCCATGCGGAGCCTCTTCTGGCCCAGTACCAGGGACACGGATGACTCTGAACCCAGACCATGGTTTCTCTCCCTCGAGACCTGGAGCCTCAGATGCTCTGGTGGTGAGATCCGGGTCCCCCTCCTTGGACTTGCCACTCAGCACTTCTGTGATCTGTCCCTTCTTCCAGGAGGTTCACAACCGCATGTCCACCCACATCCCCCTGATCATCCAGTACTACGTCCTGCAGGTGTTTGGCCAGCAGCTGCAGAGCGCCATGCTGCAGCTGCTGCAAGACAAGGAGGCCTGCGCCTGGCTCCTGAAGGAGCGGAGCGACACCAGTGAGAAGAGGAAGTTCTTGAAGGAGCAGCTGGCACGGCTGGGCCAGGCCCGGCACAAGCTTGCCAAGTTCCCCGGTTAACCCTCCTGCCAAGCCCAGGGGAGAAGGTCCCAGGGCTCTCCTGACAGCTGCGCGGGGTGAGGTAGCGGCTTAACAGATATGCAGCAGTCAGAGGTTGGAGGCCGGACCTCCGCTTGTTATCCAGTAGCACACGGGAACCAGGAGCAGTCGGGAGTGCAATTTGGTTTCAGCGCTAAGAAGACAGCCCATCCCAAAGCCCAGGCTGCATGCTGGGGGAAGAAGCCACCATCCAGAAAGGGACAAGAATGTCACCACGGGACCCTGCCTCCCCACCAACCCCCCACCCCAGCTCAGGAAGGTTCCTTCCTGGTCTCTCTGGAACCAGGGCAGCAGGATCGGCCTGGTGCTTGCACAGCGGCCTCTCTGTTCCTGATAAATGGCTACTGTGTGACGCTTGCCTACTAAGCTTTGTGTTTGGGGGAACCTAAAGCAACAGCAGGAGGCAGAGGTGGCACAAAGCAATGGACACCAAGCTGCCCCTGGCAGGCGGGGAAAGGAAGGGTCGGAGAGAGGGGACAGTGACAGGACTAGGAGGCACATGTGAGGCCCTTCTCTGAGCTCAGGGACAGACCCTGTCTGGAGCACAGGCTGTACTGGGAGCAGTGGGCAGAGTCAATTCCTCTCCCATGCTTGGTGGAGAGGGCAGAGGATGCACGCACAGCTCAGGTGCTCCCAGCACAGCGAGCAGGGGACACCACAGTCCTGCCTCTGGTCCTTCGATGATGCACTAAACATGTTCAGCGATCCAGACGTGAACACGCACAGCCAAGCCGAATCTGCCCCAAGGTTTGAGAGAGCAGAGGGACAAACACAGCAGGAAGAGAGGAGGAACCCTTATTCCAGATCAGTCACCCGTCAGGTAGGCGGGGGCTCAGGGAAAGGGCAGTGCTCTTAGCAGAGGTGACCTGCAGGTCCCCAGGGGTACGGTCCCCAGCTGTTCCCAGGGCGCCCGTCAGAGGTGCCGTCACAGCAGAGTAACACTGCACTGCCCAGTGAGGTGTGGGCCTTCAGGTGCATTGACAGCTGGGGCAGCTGGGGCCTTTATTCTGGTTTCTCCTCCTTTCCTGGTAACCCTCTGTGTCTGTGGCTCAGAGGACTCCTGGCAGGGCCCAGGAAACACGGGTGCTGTGGAGGGAGGGCAGTGCTCCCTGCACCCAGGGCCTTACCTCTTCACACCTCTGTGTCCCGCCTGTGCTCCTCTGTGGGCCCGAACTGTCTCAGGGAGGCCGGGTCTTGTCCAGGCCCTCGGGTCCCCGGTGTGAATTTAGTGGGGAGCCCTGGTGTTGTGCTGGGAGGGGCTCGAGTGGGTGGGCACCTCGGTGGGTTCCTCCCAGGCCGTGCCCGCCGACACCTGTGTGAGATTCCCACAGGCCCACTTCGCCAGTTCCATGCCCGCTTCTGCTCGAGGCAGGGCCTAGCAGCCATTTCAGACACCTTTGCTCCTCTCCGTGGAACTGCCGCCCTCTGAGCCTGGCTTTTCCAGTCCTCAAACTGTCAGTCTGGGCACTGTGTAGCTGGAGGGCGCCCAGCTCCGCCTCGGGGATCAGGGAGCTCTCTCTGGGCTCAGCCCAGCGCAGGCAGCCCCTTGCCCCCCTGTGTCCCCTACAACACAACTCTGGCTCCTCAGGCCCCTCCTCTAGCAGGTCCCGCGTGTGTCCTCCCTCAGGTCCCCGGGGCTCTGCGAGGGGCTCTGGGCAGCCACTGGGCAGTGCTGTGAGTGCTCGCCACGGCCTGAGGATTTGGTGCCTCTGAATGTGGATTTTGAAATAGAAAAAAATTAAATTTTATTAAAATAAATACTTATACAGACAGGGAAACAGGAAAAACCAAGAGGTGACTTTCTCAGGTGAGGGGAGGGAGCCCTGCATGGTGGGGAGGCCTGAGAGTTGGAGACAGAGACGCCCTGCAGCAGGACCAGGACCCGCCAGGTGTATGGAGTCAGGCCCAGCTGCTGCTGCCCGTGCTGGCTCCAGATCCCGCGGTGGCACAGATCCTGGTGCAGGCTCCCGCCCTTGCCCTGCTCCTGGGGGTCTCTTGATGGCTGCTGCTCCGGAAGGCAGTTCTGACACTAGAGGAGGCACCAGAGGGTCAAGAGAAAACTCCTCCATGGCTGCCCTTCCCTGCGTCTTCCCTGGCAGAGGAGGCCCCTTCCTGCCAGAGAGGCCTGGGTCCCTGAGCCCACAGCAGGACCTCATCCCAACTCAGGGCCACCCATCCAGAACAGCAGCCTCTGGATTCCCCTACCGGAGGGGCCCAACCTGGCCTTGCCCCCCTGCCCTCAGGCACCCAGCTCGGTCTCTTCACCTCGGCGTCGTACTCAGAGGGGATCCAACTGGCTCAGGAGGTTGCACACTTGCAGAACGATGTCTGAGTCAGGCAGGTTGATGAGTGCGTTGGCCATGAGCTGCTTCAGGCTGGCCAGGTCTGGACACTGGCAGAAGTCCTCCGGGTATTGGGCCAACCAGGTCTCCAGGATGGAGCACAGGGCACTGGGGGCGGACGTGCACAGAGTGAGAGCCTGGCCTCTCCCTGCCCTAGCCTGTCATGGTGCCTGAGGTAGGGCTGCCAGGCCGAGCCTGCCCTGCCCAAGAGCAGCTGGGCTTAGGGCAGAGGTGTGGGGCCTCGGCTGAGCAGTCTGTGCCCACACCTCCTGTCTGGCCACCGTGCAGGAGTGGGCACACCTGGCTGGGCCTGGGCTGTGGGGCTGGATCCTAACGGGGACCTGCGCTGAGCCCCAGACACCCAGTGCTCCCACATTCACCAGGCCCCAGCCCCAGCTCTGTCCTCCTCCTCCTGCAGGCGCTGCCCCAGACCACAGCCCTCCAGCAGGAAGCAGTGGGAAGTGTGTGACCCGGGTTCCCCGAGCCCAGACCTCCTTCTCAGCCCTCAGCTCTCTCACCTCTTGTTTTGCTTGTCCTCCTCACTGTTGGGGTGGAAGAACCCGTACCTAGAGGGGCCAGGAGGGGGCGGTGTCTTAACACCCAGTGGGCCACCTGCCAGGTCCTCTGGGGGACCCACTGATTCCGGCTGGGGTTGGAAGCAGAGCAGGCTGGGAGCATGGTCTGTGCTGCTCCCTGCAGACAGGGCAATGACAGGAAAGGTGACCCAGGCTGTAGGGGGTGTGTACACGTGTGCAGGGGAGGAAACAGCAGCTCCTGCACCAACATCTCAGTGTACCAGGTGCACAGTCTGCCTCAGGAGTCCCTGCTCTGGTTTATCCAGGTCAGAACTAGGAAAGTGAGGCCCAGGTAGACAGCCCCTTCCTGGGGCAGCTCCAGTGCTCCCTGGCCTCAGCCCACTTGGTCCTGAGTACTCCATCTGAGGGGCTCCTCTGCGCACCCCAGTTTCCACTGAGCCATTTGGGGCATGGAGTGGTTCAGGGCATTCCCCAGAGCCACCCAGGCGTTGGTGAGCCCCCAGGGCGTGCAGGTGGGGCGCACCTTAGGAACAGCAGGTCCAGCACCTGCTGCTTGCTGGTGAACCTCCTGTAGGTGGACAGGAACGCGGGCACGAAGAAGGGGTCCGCACGGCGATGCGCGGGCACCAGCTGGTTCACCAGCTTCCTCAGGGTGCCTGGCTCGAGGGTCCTGCCTCTGCCAGTCTCCTCCTTGTTCAGGGTGGACCCCTTTTCACCCTGAGGGGGACCCAAGGGTCAGAGTTCTGGAAACTGTGGCCAACTCGGAAGAGCTCACCTCCCAACTGAAAGAGCTCAGAAAAAGTGTCAGTGCTTTTCACACTCACACACACACACGCACACTCACCCTCACACATCCCGGGCAGGGTTCTGGGGCCACCCAGGTGATCAGCGCGATGGGCTGGCTGACTCTCACCTGCTCTGGGCTGTCCTGGGTCACCTTTGGGATGCTTGGATTCATTCTCCAGAGGCGCCAGGTGTGACAGCTGTCCCCGCGTGTCCGCATTTGGAAAAGGCCCCCACTCCACCATCTCTTGTGGCCTGAGCCTGGGCCATTTGGGAAGCAACACGACAAAATCCTTCCCATGTTTCAGTCTCTCCACGATTAACTGAAACCCACCAGCTTCTGGGGTTCTGAGTTCTGTTTGGTCCGTTGTCAAGGAAGTGAGGTCACTTCCTGGGGAACCCTTCGTCTAACCGTTTCTACAAAGTCATCCCAGACTGCTGGCTGCTCCTTCCCAACCTACCATGTGCAAAACACACACAACCCAACCTACCCTGGGCCACTCTCCCTGCATCCCCAGCTCCGCCAGCTCTCAGTGGGCAGAGACAGGTGGCTTAGGGTCAAAAGTTGGATCCTCAGGTCAAGGATTATAGTTAGATTTTTGGTGCAGGTTAGGGCGACATCTGTGTAGTCCGTTGGCTCAGGAAACTGAAGTCAGGTTAGGTGAAGACTTTATGTTAAGGTCAGGGTTAGGGTTATGTGTCTTGTAAGGGTTCATGTAAGGATTGGGTCTGTTATGGTTTCTTCATGCTAATCTTAGGGCTAAGTTTTTGGTTTGTGGCCATGTTGTGTATGATTTTCATCACTAAACACATCGCTAATAAAGTATATTGGATGGTGGGGAAATGTAGGGTTAGGATTCCAGACTGTTAGGGAGAGGAGGCAGCAAAGGGTGAGGGGGTTAGTTGGCAATAGGGTTGGAAGAGTGTTGGATTTAGTGTGAGTATGTGGGTTAGAGTGAGGATTAAGGTTGGGGGTTAGTGTTAGTGTTAGGCTTTAGCTTCCCTGTCATTTATAGGGGTAGAATTAGGGTTTCTGGTTAGGGTAATGTTTAGTTTTTACTATTGGGGTTAGTAGTTAGGGTTAAGTTTAGACTTGGGTATTAGCATTAGGTTTTACATAATGTGAGGTTTTAGGGTTAAGGTAGGCCTCAGGGTTTTGGTTGGGGTTGGAATTAATGTTTGATTTGAGTTGGTGTTGAGGTTAGTGTTAAGTTTTAGAAACTAGGATTAGAGTTTGTGGTCAGAGTCAACAAATACGTTTAGGGTTTAGGCTTAGGGTCAGTGTGAGTATTATGTTTGGGGGTTAGCCATAACAAGGGGGTTACCGTGAAGGTTAGGGGTAGGATGAGGATTAGGGTGTGAATTTGGGTTTAGGCTAAGTGTTTTGGGATAGGGTCAAGGTGAGTTTCAGGGTTAGTGTTAGTTGCTAGAATTTTGGTTGGAGTTAGATTTAGGTTTAATATTATGGTTGTGCTTCTATTAGAGTTATGTTTAGGGGTTAGGTTTAAGATTAGGGTTAGGTTCATGGGTTAGTGTTAGGGTTGTGATTTAGGGTTGGGGTCAGGTTCAAGGTTTAGATTTAGGTTTTAGTGTAGGGTTTGATTTATGGTTTAGTGTTAATGTTAAGATTAGGGTATCAGGGAGTGTTATCTACAGTAATGAATTTGGCAATGTCCTTTCTTTTCAATTTTATGAATATTGGGTGAGTTTGTATGTTAGTTTTTATGTGGCCTTAACTCTTACTACTTAGTCTCAATTGTATTGATTTGTAGTTTGATCTTTGTAATTTCTCTCACCTAGTACCTAATAATGTGATTTATTTGGCGTTTCTGTACTTTTCTAATGTATGTGTTCACAGCTGTGGAATTCTTTCCTTGAGTTCCTTTCATGGTGTCCCATGGGCTTACTGTGTTGTGCTTCCATTATCATCTCATTCTAGGAGCTTTTAAATTTTTCCCTGGAATCTTCTGAGACCAATTGATTATTCAGCAGCACATTGTTTAATCTTCATGTGTTTGCAGAATTTCTGCAATGTCTTTTGCTGCTGCTTTGTGGTCTTATTGTACTGTGATCCGTTCATATACAGGGCACTCTTTCAGCTCATGAGTATCAATCTCACTGATTTATAACCTCAGACATGGCATGTTTTCGAGAAAGTTCCATGTGTTTCTGAGAAAAATGTGTATATTTTTGGAAGAAACACTCAGCAGACATCAATTCTATTTATTTGATGATATCAGGCCGAGTCGGCATTGTCCTCCTGTTCTCTGTGACTCTGGCTGCCATACTCAGTGCAGAAAGGAATGCACATGGCCACGTTCTATTAAGACTTAACAGATGAAAGCTGTGCATCGGCTCTGATTGGAGGGCCACTGTGTTTGGATTCTGATCTACTTGTAATAAATTGTGAGGTAACTCAGAGTCTGGGGCAGCAATGACTGTGGTCTTTAGCACTCTCATCTACAACGGAGTCCTTCCTTCCACCTTGCAGTGGCACCTGAGTAAGATGTGTAATTTCTCTGGCGCGCTCTTCACAAAAAAGAAAGCTCAGTGATTGGGTGCCCAGTGCATATCATGATATTAATGGGATTTGTTCTGAGAAAGGCCAGCTTTGGGGACCTGAGCGCTCTATGCCTGCAGGGCCACTGCATCCCAAATCTCTGGAAGGGGGCCCCCAGAGGTCACTGTTGGCTGTGCCCACCTGGAATCTGATTCTGCGAAACCAACAGAGCCAAATGCAGAGTGGGTCCCAGTGTGGGAACTGTGAGAAGAATGAGAAAGGCGCTTTGGGGACCTGAGCGCTCTATGCCTGCAGGGCCACTGCATCCCAAATCTCTGGAAGGGGGCCCCCAGAGGTCACTGTTGGCTGTGCCCACCTGGAATCTGATTCTGCGAAACCAACAGAGCCAAATGCAGAGTGGGTCCCAGTGTGGGAACTGTGAGAAGACTTCAGTCCTGTGCTCCTTGGCATCACACGTGGTCTGGACAGCTGGTAGTTGTGTCTGGGGCCCTGCTGGGCGTGCCCAGGGGGTCCCTCTCCTGCTGGCCCTGCCTGGGCCCTCTGCCACCCTGGGGACTTCAGGATTCCTTAGGGAATCATACTCCAGGTGGCAGCAGGGGCCTTCTGCTGCTTTTGTTCTGAGAAGCTGCTGTATCCTCAGCACAAGGACACATGGCCACTTGTCCCTGCTTTTAGTGGACTCTCCATGATCACAGCAGACCTGCCCTGCTGCCCACCCAGCCCCAGAGGGAGGGGAGAGCCGTGTGCCCACAGCCCAGGGCCCAGCCAGCCACCCAGAGGCCGGCACAGCCCTCAGTTACTGATGCACATTTTGACCATTTATAGTTGAAGCAAAGGTTTTTTGCTTGCATGGGTTTCAGTATTTTATAAACTCAAGCCTATGGAATACTTTAATGTCTTTTTTGAATTTGGTTTGAAATCTGCCGGGGTCCAGCCTCGGCGAGAGTTCAGGTCCTGAGGAGGAGGGCTGGAGTTGGTGCTTGTGGAGTGAAGGAATGAGACACACTCTATAGGTATGAGGTGCTGTGCCTTTTGAACACTGGAGGACTTTTTTATTTGTATCACATAGTAAAGGTTACACACGGAAATCGGCATACATTTACAATTTTTGGATAAAAACTTTTAAGGTTATTTTACCAATAAACTACAGCACATAACTATTTTATTATTTTGGGGAACATTTTATCTACTGCCTCAGCTATTATTAATCAAACAATTTCCTAGTGAAGGTGTAAATGAAGACAAAATCAAAAGATCAATCCAAGTTTGCCTCCATTTTTAAAGTTCTTATGTCTATTTCAGCCACAATGGAAAGACTGCGGCCAACTCTTGGCAGGTTTTAGTAAAGAAGTACTATGGTTACTCAACTTCTTGGTTAAACTTTTATTCTGCATAGTCAGAAAGCAAGTATTTTGCACTTAAATAAGCCTTTCTATAATAACTATTTGGCTGCCTGGAAATAGTATTTACTTGTTCTTTAGTGCGTAGCCATCACCGTGTTCCTGAATGTTTCATTCTTTCTGCAAAGGGTAAATCTTGATATCTTACTCTTTTTTCATCTTTCCACACCATTCTAACTCCATCTATGTAAGCCCAAGTGTAGGAAAAGGGGGATTGCCTACTGGCCACAAATCTTTGAGCACCTTTCTGGGATCCCTATAAGTAATTGGACCCTTGGAAGAAAGCTGGGGGGGCTTTTGTTGGAGTGAAATCCTCAATTACTGAAAAATTGGAAACCCCTTCAAAGAAAGCCCCTGGATTAGGGGTCGCACTTAGGGGTTCAGTGACTGACACAACTGACACTTATTTCTCAGAAGTAGCTTGTACAGGTTTCCTTACTAAAACCAAATTGCCCGTAATTACAACTGAGCCAATCAAAAGTGCAAGCAAAAATAAAAGCTGGAGCGATGCTTTCAACCCGAGGCCCGTCATTGCTGGAACTTTGTCAAGCAGCAATAGAGGAACCATGAGCCTCACCAGAAATCTATGATACTTTTTATTGTTTTGTTTTGTTTAGGTACCGGGGATTGGACTCGGGCCCTTATGCTTCTGAGGCAGGCAGTGGAACCACTGAGTCAAATCCCCAGCCCGATACATTTTGTTTTTAAAGACCATTCTTCACACCCTACATAGAAGACACAAAAAAACTCTGCAAAGAGGCTTCTAGACTTAATTGACACTTTTAGCAGAGTAGCTGGATACAAGGTCAGCACTCAAAAATCAATAGCCTTCTTGTACACAAACAACAGACTCAATGAGAGAGAAATTAGGGAAACAGTTCCTTTCATAATAGCACCCCCCCAAAAATGAAATATCTAGGAATCAATCTGATGAAAGAAGCCAAAGACCTCTACACTGAAAACTATAGCACTCTGAAGAAAGAGATCAAAGAGGATATAATAAAATGGAAAGATATCCCCTGCTCCTGGGTAGGAAGAATCAACATAGTGAAAATGGCCATACTACCAAAACTGCTATGCAGATTCAATGCAATGCCGATTGAAAAACCAACACTATATTTCACAGAACTAGAAAAAAGAATCCAAAAATTCATTTGGAACCATAAGAGACCTAGAATAGCAAAAGCCATCCTAGGCAACAGACACATGGCAGCGGGTATAATAATTTCCAATTTGAAACTATACTACAAAGCCACTGTGATAAAAGCAGCATGGTACTGGCAAAGAAACAGACCTGAGGATCAGTGCAACAGACTGGAAGACACAAAAACAACTCCAGATGTACTCAGCTACCTCATCTCTGACAAAGGAGCTGACCGTCCTCACTGGAGGAAAGATAGCCTCTTTAATTAACGGTGTTGGAAAAACTGGATCTCAACCTGCCAAAGATTGAAAATAGACCCTTATCTTTCACCATGCACTAAAGTGAAATCCAAGTGGATTAAAGATCTAAATATGAAAACAGAAACACTAAACTTACTGGAAGATAAGTTAGGCAGAACTCCTGAAGACATTGGCAGAGGAAAAGACTTTATGAACAAATCCTCAGTAGCACGGGAACTAGCAGAAAGAATCAGCAACTGGAATCTCATC